TCCTTTGTGACGTTTTAGTCTCGTTCCTACCTTGGCAGCAGTGCATGGGGGGACACTTAAAGATTGGGGTGAGAGTTGTGAGGGCTGGCAGCATGCCTGGAGTGAGCCCTGGTGTGGAGGGAGATGCTGGGAGCAGCTGATTCTTCAGTGCCCTGCATCCCACGAGCTCTCCCAGTGGCATCTCCTCCTCCTTCTCCAGTCCTGGTCACTCCTCAGCTGCTGCCTCCCTGGCTTGGGGGATCGAGGCAGTGGGGCCTGATGATGTGCCTGACAGCAGGGGGTCTGAGGCAGTGTGGCACCGAGGGTGTTTCCAGTGACGTGGGTTGGACAGATGGTGCCCTTCTCCAGCCCGAAATGACAAGTGACACGTGCCCTCCCGACCAGCAGGCTCCATCCGTGTAATTTCCTCTTCACGGGGCTCCCGGCTGGGCTTTGTGCTGCTCCCCCTGTCCAGTGCCTACCCTAAATAACATCTCCCTGCCCTAAATAACATCTCCCTGCCTGTCAGTCAGCCCCTGTGTGCCCGGGGGTGAGCTGCCTTCAACCACGAGTGCCTCCGACCAGGCAGCGCCTGGCTTTGGCAGAAACCCCTTCCCTGGGAGGTGGATTCCCTTCCTTTTGGATTTCTGAGTCTGGCAGGGTGCTGTGGGCAGCAGGGATGGGACCAGGCAGGGATGTGGCACCCTTCAAGCAACGAACCAGGACTGTTTTGGTTGTGGAAGGGACAGACAAGGGATGACAAGGAGAGGAGCATCTTGGCAGGTCCTGCTGCCCTTCCTCTGCTGCCCATCTCTGGCCTGTGTGGTCACAGTACAGGCCTGTGTTTAAAGTGGGATTACTTTCCTCACAGGCTTCAGAAATGGGCTCAGAATTTTGGCAAATTGAGATCCTGCCAGAATGATGGCAAGGAAAACTGGATAGGCTTGGGGGAAGTTGTGTTGGAGGTGCCTTTTCCTGTACAGGGCTGCAGAGGCTCTTTGATGCATCCCACCCTGCTTACCCTAGGAGGGGACTTTTATGGGATCACAGAGAGGTTTGGTAGGCAGGGACCTTCAAAAATCATCCAATCCCACCACCCCTGCCATGGGCAGGGACACCTTCCACTGTCCCAGGTTGCTCCAAGCCCCGTCCAATCTGGCCTTGGACACTTGCAGGGATGGGGCAGCCACAGCTGCTCTGGGCAACCTGTGCCAGGGCCTCCCCAGACCTGGTCATGGTCCGACCTGACTGTACCCTCAGTTTAACACCAGTCTTTTGCTGGGCCACCAGAGCTGGAGGCAGCTCAGGGGTTCTCAGGAGAGCAGAGCAGAGCGGGAGCATCCCCTCCCTCACCTGCTGCCCACACAGCTGGGATGAACCCGGGACACACTTGGCTTTCTGGGCTGTCAGTGCCCATGGCTGGGTCATGTCCCATTTGTCATCCATCAGTATCCCCTATCCATCTCCACAGGGTGCTCCCAGCCATCTTTCCTTTGACTCCTTCCTGTAGACGACCATCCTGTTGGGCACATGATGAGGTGGCAGAGGCTGCTGCCAGGACGTGTGTCCCCCCATCTGTGGGTGCTGGTGGGGATGTCCTTGTCCCTGACATGGAGAGGCTGAGCAGGATGGGGAGGAAGAAAGATCCTCTGACCTGAGGGCAGGTGTGTCCAGGGCAGTGTTTGTGTTGGCAGCTGCATCTTCCATAACTCACAACGTGTGTCCTGAGCATCTGTTGGCAATGTCTGAGGTCCTTGCAGGGGTGTAGCTGGTGGTCTGTGTTGTAACTGCCCATCCGGGGGGCCCTGGGCACCACCCACCTTCATCAAAGGCAGTCCATGCTTAAAATCAAGCACAGCACAAACCACGTGGGGCTCCAAGTGATGTGTAAACTGGAATGTGAACATGGATGGTGGTTATATCCCCGTAGCAAGAATCCATCCATGCAGACATCCTTCCTAGCTTTAGGAGATGATGCTCTGTGACCTCCTCGATGGTGAGCCCTGCTGCCCACGTGCTGTGGGTGCTGGGGGAATGCTTGGGATGCTCCAGGAGCAATGGAGCATGTGTAGGCATTGCTCTGGGACCAGTTTTTGACCCCAGGTGGACCCGATCTTACATCCTGGCTCACTGCTGGCTGAAGGAATGGCATAGCTGGCAGCAGGGCTGGAATGGGGACTGACAGCTGTCACTGTGCTCAGATGGGTTTGAGAGACTGCAGCAGCAATGACATGGGACAGGAGGAGGGACAGGGCTGTTTGGTGACACCGGGGTGCAGGAGGGGTGTAAGAGAGCCCACAGCCAAATCCTGCCCCTGGCCCTGGGGAGGTGTGGGAGCTGTTGGATGTGGCTGTGCATCCAGCTCTGCCCAGAGCCGAGCTGTGCTGGTGTTGTGACAGCTGGAGGTGGGAGAGGTGGTGTGGACTTGGTGTGAGAGCAAACTGCTGCTGAATTTTGAATGCAAAAAGCTTCAGGGAAGGAGCTGGGTTCTGCCTGATGCGAAGGGCAGTGTCTGCTGCAGGGCATGTATGGCCCCAGCTTGAACCAGCACTGGTGTGGCCAGTGGGACCAGGGCAGGGACTGTCCCCCTGTGCTGGGCACTGCTGGGGCACCTCAAATCCTGGGGTCCATTTTGGGCCCCTCACTCCAAGAAAAACATTGAGGGGCTGGAGCGTGTCCAGGGAAGGGCAGTGGAGCTGGATCAGGGTCTGGAGCACAAATCTGAGGAGGAGCTGAGGGAGCTGGGGGGGTGTCTCAGCCTGGAGAAAAGGAGGCTCAGGGGGGACCTTGTCTTCTCTCCAACTCCCTGACAGGAGGGTGGAGCCAGGGGGGGATTGGGCTCTCCTCCCATAGAACAAGGGACAGGACAAAAGGAAATAACTTCAAGTTGCTCCAGGGGAGGTTTAGGTTGGATATTGGGGGAAAATTTCTTTACTGAAAGGGTTGTCCAGCCCTGGCACAGCTGCCCAGGGCAGTGGTGGAGTCCCCATCACTGAAGGGATTTAACAGATGTGTAGATGTGACACCTGGGGACATGAGTTAGTGGTGGCCATCAAACTCTTAAGTGTGCCAGCCTGTTCCCAGGCTGGTGGCCTTGGCTATACCCCAGCTCCACTGGGGTACTGTACCCGAAATGGGCAAATTCTAAATTCTGGGCTTTAGGGAACAGTCTTCTGTGCCCACAGAGTGGTGGATAAGGGCAGCAACGTGCCTGCTTTCCCTTGTCAGGGTGAGATTTTCACTGGAATAGTGGCAACTCTGATCATGTGGGCTCTGGGTAAGCATGAATGGGAGAAGCATGAATGGGTTATCCAGGCAAAGGGTGCCACGAGCAGTGGCAAGGCTGAGAGCTGAGGTCTCCTCTGGGTGAGCCCAAATCAGTCACCGTAGGGTGAAAAGGCAGTTTTAGGAGGAAGGATAGATATTTCATCTGCCCTATTTCAAAGTAAGAGCCATCTCTCTGCAGACCGTAGTGGCTGCCTCTCTGCAAAGTGTGGAGGGGCCACAGGGTGATGTGTAACTGTCTGCAAAAGTGGGACCATTATGAGATGGGCAGAGACAGTCCTGTCTTAAATCTCCATTCCACTGCCTACATCTCTCTTGTGAGGATGGAGTAAGAAGGAACTTTTCCAGCCTGTTAATTTTCCATTTCCCTCCATCATGTAGCTGCTTTGGATAATAATCTTTTAAATGTCTCCTTATGCAGAGGACTGTAATTTTTCCTTCCCCTGTGAGCTGGCGTCCCCCGCCTCGCTGGGACAGGAGGTATTTTCAGCTCTGGTGACAGTGACACACATGCTTCTGCAGACAAGGACAACCCCTCATTTGCCTGCTGGGGCTTTACTAGTTCTGTTGTATTATCTGTTCGCTCCCACCTTTCTTGCACTCTGCAGCACTCCTTTTATTTTCCCACGACAGGATCCCTCGTGTTTCCCACCGCAGCATCTCCCATGCTTCCCCGTGGCAGCATCCTTTGTGTTTCCTGTGGCAGTATCCCTTGTGTTTCCCATCACAGCATTCCTCTTGTTTTCCCATGGCAGCATCCCTCGTTTTTCCCATCATGGCATCCCTCATATTTTCCCATCTCAGCATCTCTCATCTCCCATTGTGGCTTCCCTTCTGTTTCCCATTGCAGCTGCCCTTGTGCTTTCCCATGGCAGAATCCCCCATGTTTTCCCATGGCAGCATCCCTCGTGTTTTCCAGTGACAGCATCCTTCATGTTTCCCATCACAGCATCCCTCATATTTTCCCATTGTGGCATCCCTTGTGTTTTCCATGGCAGAATCCCTTGTGTTTTCCCATGGCAGCATCCCTCGTGTTTTCCATGGCAGAATCCCTTGTGTTTTCCCATCACAGCATCCCTCATGTTTTTCCCATTGTGGCATCCCTCATGGTTTTCCTATTGCAGCATCCCTCATGCTTTCCCATGGCAGCATCCCCCGTTTCCCATGGCAGCTTCCCTTGTGCTTTCCCGTGGCAGCATTCCTTGTGTTTCCTATGGCAACATCCCTTGTGTTTTCCCATCACAGCATCCCTCATGTTTTCCCAGTCGCAGCATCCCTCGTGTTTCCCATCATGACATCCCTCGTGCTTTCCCATTGCAGCATCCCTGGTGTTTCCCATGGTGGCATTCCTCGTGTTCCCCATCCCTGCTCTTTGCAGAGCCCTTGTGCTCACACATGGCTGAGGGAGCCCATGAAGCTCCTGCTCCAGCTCCCTGTGGATGCAGTGCTGTCCTTATCCCTGTCCCATGCTCGCTGTGGGGGCTGTGCCATGGGGCACTGGCTACTGGGATTTAGGCTCTCCCTCGCTTCTGGATTTGTTCATTCTGTGCTCTCTCAGTGTCCCTGGTGCTTGGTGTGGCAGTACTCAGGGTGTCCCACACTCTGGCTGGTGTTTGTCCCAGCCCCTGAGAGTAAGTGAGCAAAGGAGAAGAGGAAGATGCTCCTGAAATGGAGCTGTGAACTCTGCAGGAAACACCTGTTGATGCCTCTCTCTCTCCGTGTCGCTGCAGGCGAAGGACAGTGATGATGATGATGAAGTCACCGTCAGCGTGGACCGGGATCGCTTCATGGATGAGTTCTTTGAGCAGGTGAGACGTTTGTTCCTCCACTGCAGCTCTGAAGCTGGTTCAGACCTTTCTGCTGGTGCCAGAGTGGGTTGTGGGGCCATGGTCCAGGCTCCCACCACTGTTACAAAGCAGCACTTGGGATAGGGATGAGAGTCCTGCCCTGACTGGTGCTGCTCAGCTGATGCTCAAGGTCCTTGGGGGTTATGCTCTGAGTGCTGAACATCAGGAACCAGGCTTCCCTGCAGACCTCAGGCTGTGGTGGGCTCACCTGACCCTATGGATGCTTTCCTGCTCCTCCAGAACTCACCAGGGCAGCATGCCCAGGTGATGGGGGCAGGAGAGCCTCACACCCAGCTCTTGGACCTCTCCCCAGAGCACCTCTGTGGAGCAGCAGCCTCTGCATGGGACTGATTTAATTTTGTGCCTCCCATTCCCAAACAAGAGGTTGTGTTCTGGCATGTGGGTGGCTGTAAGATCTGCATGCAGATTTTTAGCACACCCTTAGCTTGGCATGTGTGTGGGGGGTGTTAAAGTGGATCCATGCAGGCAATGGAGTGGGGACTGGGAGAAATCTGATGTGCAGGTGGAGGAAGATGAGCAAAGGGGTGGTGTGAGCCAAAGGAGAAGACAGAGCTGGAGGGTGGGTAGCCTGGCAGGCAGAGAGCACAGGAGAGGTTTCCCCTCTTGGAGATGCCAGTGTCTCCCTGTAGTACAGAAGTGCAGGGAAGATGCCAGCATGGATTTGCTGGGAAACATTTCTTCCCTGGGCTGGGGAGTGAGGAACAAACTGGGCTTCTCAGCCCCTGGAGAGAAGAGCAATGGGGGACTGAACCAGCCTCACCTTGTGCAGCCTCAGCAACGTTCTGGCAGAGGGGCAGAGTCTGGGAATCAGATCTGATGCTGATTTATATCAATGCCCAAAGTTTCTCAGTGCATCACAAAGGATACAGGACATACAGTCTGTATCACACCACTGTGACTGCAGAGCTGGCTGCTGGGATGGCAAAGGCCCAGTTCCTCACTGGTCCTATAGTTTCCAGCTGGAAAATATTCATCCAGGAGGACGTTTGCTGTGGTTCAGACATACCACGGTTGCTTTGGGATAGGGTTCAATAATCCCTCTACTTTCCAAAAGTCCAGGTCTGTCACAGACCACCTGTCTTGTTGCCTGCCTCCACAGGTGGAAGAGATTCGAGGGTTCATCGACAAAATTTCGGAGAACGTGGAGGAGGTGAAGAGGAAGCACAGCGCCATCCTCGCCTCGCCCAACCCCGACGAGAGTGAGTGACCTCCGTGTGTCCCACGGGCCGGGCACTGAGGGGTGGCTGGAGCCAGGCAGAATTCCTTGTGTCTGCAGGTGGCCGTGGCTGGATGGTCAAGGAGAGCCGGGACCTGCCTGGGGAGAAGGTGGAGGGGTGATTGGTGGCTTTGAGACCTTGTGAGGTGGTGAGGGTCCAGCGAGGCTGCCAGAGGGGGGTTTCTGAAGGAATGGGGCAGTGTGGAGGCTGGAAAGAGCAAGTGGCTGTTTTTGTGCTGGTTGGCTGTTGTCTTGCCATGGGCAGCCTGGGAGGGTCCATGGATGGACCAGAACCTGCTTGGCCCAGAAATGGTGCAGCCCATGGTGGGCACTTGGAACTCTGTTTCTCTGTCCTGAGGATGATTTGTTGCTGGCTGGCCAAAGAGTCTGTCTCCTCCAGACCTGTTTCTTCCCCAGTCTTGTGTTCCTGAGAAGAGGTTTGTTGCCAAGAACCAGAGTTAGGGATCACAGCACCCAAGAGGTGGCAACACTTGAGAGTCTGGGGGATCTGGCAGAGTTAGAGCTGTGGGTGCTGAGGTTCCCTGTCCCCAGGTGGGACCAGTGCTCTCCCAGGGGAGCCAGAGGAGCTGGCCCTGGAGGTGGTGGGGTCAGCAGAGACTTTCCAGCTTCATTGTTCTACAAATGCCTGGCTGGGGAGCAGGTGGGACCAAGGAGCTGAGTTGTGCAGGGAGAGCAGGGCTGGGCACTGCGGAGCAGGGCTGGACTCTGGCTGGGCTCACCCTCTGAGGGACAGCACTGGGACAGCTGTGCTGCTCCAAACCCAGCCTTCAGTGTCACCACGAGCCCAGGTGGGCTCTCCTTTGCCTGCCTCCCTCATGGTGTTGTCACAGGGGTGGTGGGTGCTGCAGGGCTGACCGTGCAGTATGACCCCAAGCTGCTGGTAGCCCTTGTCCTTGGCAGGTGTTGCTTTTGTGGTCTGAGTGCTGCTTGCGCTCCCAGGCTGGCACAGGGGGGTGCCTGGGGGCTGGAAAGCTGAGACCAGCTCTCTCTCTTGCCCTTCTCCCATCAACCTCTCCTCGTTTGCTCAGTGCAATTCCATGTCTGCAGGTGGAATTGTTCCCAGAGGCCCCAGGAGGGTGCCTACACACACATTGCCTTGCGTCCAGCCCATGTCAAATCAGTAGATATTGTAATTACTTGGAAGAACTGGCCCTTCCTAAGTTGTCTCAGGCTTCCCTCTCCTGGCAGCTGCTCCTCAGCTAAAATTTCCTTAGCCAAGCCTGGAAGCGAGGGATTTTCTCGAGGGAATTCACGTGTCCCAGACTGTTGCTCAATCATCCTCCAGGCTCTTGTGCTTGCACTGTAAGATGTTGCAGTGTTCCTGTTTGGGGGTTTTCAGGGAAGAGCTGTCACTGCTCCTGGCTGCTGCAGTGGCACAGGGTCTGCTCGGGGCTGCAAAGGGCACTCGTGGCCTAAAAGCATAATAATCTATTTAAAAGTCTGAGATCTGCAGTGAACAGGATGCAGTGATGTTGCTGTGGCTTCCAGAAGCTTCCACGACGTTGGGAGTGCTTCTGGTTTTGTTTTACAGTGTTACCTTGCCTTGGTATTGTAGAGAATTCAGTTTGTTATGCCGAGAACTGTTTGGGCAGCAAAAGAAGAGTCCACACATTCAGAAATCAGTGCTCTGTAGTATTGTGGTGCAGCAGGACTGATCAGTGGTGGATAGACTTAGAATCACAGAGTGGTTTGAGTTGGAAGGGACCTTCAAAGCTCATCCAATTCAACCC